GGGGGGGGGTGAAGGAGGGTGTGGGGAAAGATGGAGGTGGATCCAGTTTCCAGGTCAGGCTCAGAGAACAGACCATTTTTTTTTTTTTTTCCGAGGTGAGTGAGAGGGCAAGCTTGGGGACAATGGAAAAGAAAAAATCCCTTGTGTCTGCCTGGAAGTCATTCCCCAGCTCAAAAATTAACCGCCTGATAAAGCATTTTCTTCTCCCCCCGCGCCCCCCCCCCCCCCCCCCGTGTGCTTTGCCTGCAGACTTTAATCCCTGTGGTAATGGACTGGCTAAGCCCGAGAAGCTGGGACTTCTTTGGTGGGAGTGGGGGATTATGCGGCTCCCGAAAGAACTGCCTGGGTTGGGCTGCATGAATAGGGCTGCTCAGGGGCTGTGGGAACCTTCCTTTCTTGCTCCCAACCAGGGCCAGGACTCTAGTAAGCCCAGGGAGGCCCCCAGGGAGCACAGTTCAAGTTGGGCTATTGTCAGGGCTGTGCATCTGCCTTCCCCTGGTCTCAGCCCTGCTACCCACTCCTGCGGCACAGCGGGCTTTCAAGGTAGAGAAAGTCCTTACCTCTGACGCGCGGCCTGACCCCCGGCCCCCGGCAAGCCACTTGCCCTCCCTGGGCAGCCATTGTACTAGGGGAGAGATCAGACCAGGATTTCTCAACCTTGGCACTATTGACACTATTGGGAAAGAGTAATTCTCTGTGTGGGGCTGTCCTGGGCACTTCAGGAAGTTTAGTAGCATCCCTGGCCTCTACCCACTAGATTTTCCCCCTCTAATCATGACCAGCAAAAATGTCCCCGGGCGGGCGGGGGGGCGGGGGGGATGACAAAATCACCCCCTGTTGAGAACCATGGGGTTAAATGATCTCAGATTCATTCTGGCTGTCATATTTTAAGGTTTTCTTTTTTTTTTAAAAAAAGATTTATGAAGAGTATTTAAGAACTTGAACTATTAATAACAAAGTACATCAATATATGATTATTAATAATTTATTCAGCCCGGCCGGCATGGCTCAGTGGTTGAGCGTCGACCTATGAACCAGGAGGTCAAGGTTCGATTCCTAGTCAGGGCACATGCTCGGTTTGCAGGCTTGATCCCCATGCAGGAGGCAGCCGATCAATGATTCTCTCTCATGACTTACGTTTCTATCTCAGTCCCCCTCCCTTCCTCTCGGAAATCAATAAAAAATACATTTTTAAAAAATAATAATTTATCCAACATAATAGCTCATGTTTATTGGGCATCCCCATGTGTCCATCACTGTATATGAAATGATCCACTCTCCGAGGCAGGTACTGTTATCGTGGGCCTACAGCACGTGAGGAAACTGAGGGTGAGGACACAAGTGACTGGCCCAGGCTCACACAGCCAGAGTGTGAAGGTTTATCTGATTCCAAAAGCCTTGCTGTTCCTAGTGTGCACGTTTCACATAGAAAGGTTAGGACATATAGTACCTCCTGAGGCCCTAACTGCCAGGGGGAAGGCACTTCGGTGGAAGCTGGTGGAACCCAGACTTTTCTACTCCATCCACTTTTCTAAAGCAGCCTGACAGCAGAATCCAGGGTAACAAAGGGAGAAGAAAATGCCATCTTTGTTTTTTTTTTTAATATATTTTATTGATTTTTTACAGAGAGGGAAAGAGATAGAGAGTTAGAAACATCGATGAGAGAGAAACATCGATCAGCTGCCTCCTGCACACCTCCTACTGGGGATGTGCCCGCAACCCAGGTACATGCCCTTGACCGGAATCGAACCTGGGACCTTTCAGTCCGCAGGCCGACGCTCTATCCACTGAGCCAAACCGGTTTCGGCGAAAATGCCATCTTTGATGAGAAAGGAGGACCACAGTCCCACCCCTGGTGTGTAAAGAAGAAGTGACAGTGGCGATGGGATTTGGGCCAAATGGCAGAAGGAAACCAAGAGCCGTGCCTGCTCTGCAGCTCCCAGGCAGGACGCAGGCTGCTCCAGAAATGTTGTTCGGCTCCACGAGCTCGTCCTAATCCTGGCAGAGCCTGGAGAAGACGCGGGGGAGGGGAGGCGCGGAGTACCGTGCAGGACGGAGTTCAGATGAACTGGAGGAGGAGGCTCGGAGCCCCTCGGTGAGATGCAGGATGTTGGGAGGCGGGTGGAGGCCAGAGGATGGACAATGATGGGTTTGTCATTGGAATACGGCTCTAGTTTTCTTTCTCAGTCAGACTAAGAGACATGAAAACTCAGAGGCCCCTCAAAGGACCTTCTTGGGTCTTCACACTGAGTCTCCACAGTAAGCCCTAGGCTTAGAATGGAGACACATTCCAGAGCAGCGCTGGTGACCAGGGACTCTGCGATGAGGGGTAGGCACCTGCTGTCAGCTTCCTCCCGGCCCCTCTCCCCACACTTGCCTTTAACAAAGAACGGGTCTGAGAGGAGTAGCCCCAATCCTGTGATGAATGACTAGCATGGGACCCCCAAAAAGACAGTGTGAGAAATAAGAAAGGGGGCATCAAATAAAAGTAAAGAATAAACACTGAAGAGCTGCGTCATGAAGTTGGAGAAACTACTGAACAGATATTTCTCCATGAGATTAAAAAAAAAAAGAAATTATTTCAGTGGGATTCTCTGTGATGTAGACAACCCCAGATTATTATTCTCCATTTTCAGATGAACAAACTCAAGCTCAGAGGGGTCAGTGACTTGCCACAAAAAGTCAGTAGCAAAACCGCGATGCCCAGGCTTCCTGGCCCTGAGGCCCGGATTCTCTAGAGCAGCTTTGTCCAGCAGGACTTTCCGCGATGATGGAAATGTTCGGCATTCTCTGTCCAGAATGGTAGACACAAGTCTCATGTGGCTACTGAGCTCTAGAACTGTGGCTCGTGTGTCTGAGAAACTGGAATCTAAGTTTCATTGAAGTGGCATGGATTTAAACTTGAATAGCTCCACGTGGCCTGAAGCTACTGCATCTGGACAGCTCAGCTCTGGACACGTCCTTGGCACTCTTTTCCCTTGTACTTCGGCCATCACTGGACATCAAGTTCTCAAATCTGGCCTTAAAAATTAGGACCAGGCTTCTTGCTTCGGGCTCCGTCTTCTTGGGTACAGCCTCCTTTAGGCTTCTCCACCCCTGGGAGTTTGAGCTGAGTCATGCCAACTTCTGAGGGCCAAGGGAGGGATAGCCTGGGAAGCCGGGAAATGTTTCACCCGGGGCCAGGACTCCACCTACCCTGGGCCACCTCCTTGAAGTGGAACCTCTGGACAGAGCAGGGTGGTCAGGAGGCCAAGTGCTGACTCGGAGATGACCCAGAGAGAGAGCCTGCAAGGTCAGACACCTCCTGCAGCCTCTGAACTCCAGAAGTTAAAATTCACAGGAACAGGATCTGATGAGCTCGCGACTCTACCTTCTCCCCTGATCTACCTTCTGTCTCTGTGAGTTTGACAACTCTAGGTACCACATATAAGTGGAATTGTACAATATTCCTCTTTTTTGTGGCTGGCTTATTTCGCTTAGCATAATGTCTTCAAGGTTTATCCATGTTGTACAATGTGTCAGAATTTCCCTCCTTTTTAAGGCTGAATAATATTCCATTGTATACATGTCTATATCTCACAGTTTTCTTGTTCATCTGTCAATGGATGCTTGGGTTGCTTCCACATTTTAGCTTTTGTGAATAATGCTGCTGTGACGATGGGTGTACAAATACTCTTTGAGCTCCTGCTTTCAGTTCTTAGGGGTGTAATACCCAGAGGTGGAGATGCTGGGTCATATGGTAATTCTATTTCATGTTTTGAGAAGCTACCATCCTGTTTTCTATGGTGGCTATACTAATTTTATTCCCAATGAACAGGGCACAGTAAAGTCCTTGCCGTTATTACTATTATGGATGGCGTCTGCACTGAGTGTCGGGCATCATGCTGCCTGCCAGGTAGAGATGCTACTGATGCTCCCTCCACATCCCCATTGACACTCCCCATTCTACGCATGCTCATAGCTTCTCACTGCCCCTGAGCTGGTCAGCACGAGGCCCTCCGGCTGCACGTGGGGCAGGCAGGAAGGGAGGGGCAGCAATGCTCCCAAGAGCAGCCCTCAGTGATGACCAGGGAATGAGCAGGTGAATAGCCCAACTTCTTTGCCCCTCAGGGGGACAACTAGGAGGCATGATCTACACCAGGGGTCCTCAAACTACGGCCCGCGGGCCACATGCAAATACAAATATTGTATTTGTTCCCGTTTTGTTTTTTTACTTCAAAATAAGATATGTGCAGTGTGCATAGGAATTTGTTCATAGTTTTTTTATTATTTTTTTTAAAAATATATTTTATTGATTTTTTACAGAGAGGAAGGGAGAGAGACAGAGAGTTAGAAACATCGATGAGAGAGAAACATCGATCAGCCGCCTCCTGCACATCCCTTACTGGGGATGTGCCCGCAACCCAGGTACACGCCCCTGACCGGAATCGAACCTGGGACCCTTTAGTCCGCAGGCCGACGCTCTATCCACCGAGCCAAACCGGTTTGGGCCATAGTTTTTTTTTAAAACTATAGTCTGGCCCTCCAACCGTCTGAGGGACAGTGAACTGGCCCCCTGTTTAAAAAGTTTGAGGACCCCTGATCTACACCATCTCCCAGGGTCCCCATCAGGCTTGACCCCGGCTGCCCACAGTGGTAACCTCATTAACACTCTGCATTGGCTTCCTTCTCTGTTTCACTTCGCCACACCCTGCTGGAACTTTCTGAGATCCCCTATTAAGTCAAGTGTTTTCGGTCTCATGCTCGTCTCAGGGTCTACTTTTAAGACAACGGGGTATTTCATAGAACCCTCAAACAGTCCTCTAAACTGGACAGATATGGCCTCCCTGTTCTAGAGTTGAGCAGAATGAGGCTCAGACAGGTGACACCACCTGCTTGGGCACGTACCCTCTCCTCTGCCTCCCCATGGAATGTGCCCGATGGGCCTGCTGCGGGCCTGCTCCCCTGCCCCTGAGCTGTGCTGAGCCTGCACCCCCTCCCCCCGCCTCTTGCAGGAAGGCCGCTGTCTGTTTGTCATCCTGCTCATGGCCGTGTACTGGTGCACGGAGGCGCTGCCGCTGTCGGTGACAGCCCTGCTGCCCATCATCCTCTTCCCCTTCTTGGGGATCCTGAAGTCCAAGGACGTCTGCCCCCAGTACTTCGTGGACACCAACTTCCTCTTCCTCAGTGGTCTGATCATGGCCAGCGCCATCGAGGAGTGGAACCTGCACCGGAGAATCGCCCTCAAGATCCTCACATTTGTGGGGGTCCGGCCGGTCTGGTAAGGCCAGGTAACGGGTCCAGCCCCAAGGTGGGGCGTTAGAGGGACCACATCTCTTGGAGCCCAGATTTGCTCTTCCTTGTTACTCATCCAGGCTAACAAACGCATGTCCCGCCTTCCACATACTTATTCATCCCTCCTATATTTAACGAGCCCGTCTGTGTGGCAGGCACAGTGAGAATTTTCAAAAGTGCATAAGAACCATCAGGAAATCGGTTGAAATGCTGGTTTCCAGGCCCCATCCCCGGGATTTGTGGTCAGTGGTTTTAGAAGGGGCCATTTAGCAGTATGAATTCCACCTTTCCTGCTCTGGGGAAGGGCTGAACCTTTCTCTGCCTGTAAAATGGCGATATAATAGCCGAGACCTGCACAGCAAACGCTGCCCATGAAGCATCCCAGTTTGGTGTTTACCAGCCAAGGAGAAGGGAGGGTGGGGAATGGGGAGAAATGGCCTCAGAGACGCAGGAGGCAGGTCTATTCCTGCAGGCAGGCCCTCAGGATTTGAATTTTTATTCTAAGAGGATTGAGTGGCCTTTCAAATAGGGCCATTGTTGTTCTTTGCATTTTTTCCCCCTCCAATTTGGTGAATCTTAAGTATTCCTTCGGGAATAATGTTTTTAAATCATAAAGCACAACACATGGGCTTTAAAACAACAATAAGCACAACAATTACAGCAAAAGGCAGTCATCCAAATACTTTTTTAAAACACATAAATCCATGATATAGTATCATATGTATGTACCTCTTTCCAGTAAAAATGATAGGATATAACTACTGTCCTAACAACTTTTGTTTTTCTTTTCTTTTTTTAAATTGATTTTTAGAGAGGGAGGGAGGGAGGGAGGGAAGGAGGGAGAGAAACATAGATGAGTTGTGTTAGGGTTTTGGCTGGTGACTTGGGCTGTGAAAGAATTCACAACTGAGAGAAGAGATAGATGCAAAGAGAAAGTTTATTTTACTTTCCCTGAAAGGTAAAGGGCCAGTGCATTGCTAATCAATACAGAAAACAAAAGTGGCTTCCCCTTTTAAGCCCTGGCTGCTGCTAAGCAACAAGGGAGGGAGGGGAATCCTGGGCCGGAGTTGAGCAGATATTACTACGGTGTCGGGTGAATTTCCCGCCAAAATATAAGATAGCGCGGGCAATTATTTAGGTTTCCCGCGCAAAATCAGAGTTAGTTTAAAATGCCTATATCTTTTGAAGTATGGGTTCGATTGAAATGAAATTTTCGGTACTCGACCAGCGCCATAAAGTGTTCTCTACTTACAAGGGATTTTTATGATACCTATTACCCCAATGGGTATGAAACGGTTCGCATACACAGGTAGGTATCTTTGTGAACGGCAAACAAACAAATATTTGGTAATACGCAGTTACAATCGGCCCGAGTTTACACGTTTCCCGCACTCCACCGCAAATCTATATGAACCGAGTTAAGACGGCTCCCGTGGAGTACGCGCAATTCACGCGAGCCGACTTAACTCGTTTCCCGCAACCCAAGTGATATCAGAGGGGTTGTAATTTGTTTGTTCTTCAGGAGACATTCTGGGCAGATGTCCCAGGGAAGTGTCTTATCAGTATTTTTCCCAAACCTGTAAAACATGCTTAGAGTAAAAGTTATGAAGAGATCAAAAGAGGCTCCTTTGAAGAGGAAGGGGGAAGGGAACTTTCTACTAACTAGAGACTTCTTGATGCAAATTATCCCTGAGTTGTAGAATAGCAGGGAGGAGGGGTATGCAAGAACATAGCCTTGAAAGTAACTTGTCTTGCAGTTTGAATAGAGGGGCTGTGTGAATCAGAGGAGCTAACGGTCGTGGGGTGCGTTTCATAAATTGTGGAAGGCTACCTCACAGAAAAAGAGGCCTTTTTGTGTCCTCATACTCACAGTTTGCCTCCTGCATGTGCCCCAACGAGGGACGGAACCCACAACCTGGGTATACCCTGATCGGGAACCGAACCTGCCACTTTTTGATATACTGAATGATGCCCAACAACTGAGCCACACTGGGCAGGGGTGAGGCAACAGCTGTCATTTTGAGGCAGTTTTGAGTGTCAATGATATTCTCAGATGTGGCACCTGTTATACAGTAATGCCATATGAAAGTATCCGTGGTCTTCATTGGTAACCAAGTCCCAGGCACTTCTAATACCGCAGAACTTTGTGGCCTCTGTTTATCACAGATGGAAAAATTTCTATTAGATGTTAGCAAAATAAAGATGGATTTTTCTCCCTCCTTTCCATCCTGAATGATATCCATGGCCCCACCCTGATTATGAAACTCTATTTTAAAATTATCTAAGCTGGGGAGGGACATGACGAAATTTGCATTTTAAAAAAATCCCTCCCGGCTTCCAAGTGGAGAGCCGATGATCAGTGAGAAGGTGGACGCAGCCCAGTTAGGAGACTGTGCTAGGGGTCCAGGCCAAAGATGGTAACAGCGTGAACTAGGTGGTGGCAGTGGAGATGGACAGAATGGGAGAGCTCTTTTTGTGATGGGGGTGGGGGGAGGGTGAGAGTGAAGAAGGTTCTGGGTAACATGTACGTTTTTAGCATCTGCTTTGGGCCTAGCACTCTGCTAGGCTCTGAAGCTGTGTTTCCTCCTGGAGGAACTGCAGTCCTGGGGAGAGATTCCATCTGTCGTGGAATTTGATACCCAAGAAACACACGTGCTGTGGGAGCCCACAAGAGAGGTAGGGGTCATGTCATGGAGGAGCTTACATTTGACCTTGAAGAATGGGTGGGGCTCTGGCAAACATATTTTAAAGTTCCGACAATGTGACACTAATTCAGACATAGATTTTAAAACAGAATAGCCCTGGCTGGTTTGCTCAGTGATTAGAGTGTCGGCCCTCAGACCTAAAGGTCTCGGGTTCGATTCCCGGTCAAGGGCATGTACCTCAGTTTCGGGTTCCCCAGCCCCGGGAGGCACCCAATCACTATGTCTCTCTCATGTCAATGATTCTCTCTCTCTCTCTCTCCCCCCTTC